GAAAATATTACAATAAAATACACATTAGTCATCCGTATTTCACCACCTTGTACCAAAAACACATTTTGCTCTGCAAGCATTAGGCACACTGCAGTTTTCTCAGTTTGATTTATAATTTGTGATCCTTTGTTACTGATGGAACCAAGGCATGACATAAAGTATTCATCATTCAACAGCATATTTTAACAATGCTTTAAATAGATTGCCCTAGACACTCAGTCTGAAAACTGTCTTCCTTATATAACAAGAAGATAGTTCAGACATGACGTGGTGATTTAGAAAGCAGGAAGCTTCATTTTTGAGGGGTTATGACAAAACAGTGACATCGAAAGCATATAGCCTTTTTACAGCCAAATTATTTCAAAACGAATTATCGTTCCAGAATCCAGAATATATATATTTTTACCGTATTCCAAATATATACACACACATGGACAAAATTGTTGGTACCCCTGTTAATGAAAGATAAAGCCACAGCGGTCACAGAAAAACAAAATTGGAGATTAAATAGTAACATTTATGAAAATTAACCAAGAAAAATCAGACATTGCTTTTGAATTGTGATTCAAGAGAAATGTTTTAAAAAGCAAACTCATGAACCTCTTGAGGTTTCAGACCAATCCGGAACAGAATTGCATCCCCTAAATGCAGATCAGAATAAGATCATATCCCAAAATGTTTTGTTTTTTTTAAATTATAAAACAATGGCGCAAGAGCGACAAGGTACAACATAAAAAACTGGTAACAAAGAACCAGAAATAACAACAACGAGACTAGCCAAAAGTGCTTGGAAAAGGCAAGGGAAATAATAACGTAACATCACTTGTCATAAAAGGACAAAGACAAGCCAATTACGAGAAAAGCAAAAACCCCTGGGAGAACACTATCAACAAAATTGATACAATATTGGAAAAACAAGGAAATACTAAGCAAGACTATAAACGAGTAGCGAGAACGTGGAATGTCTACATAATAAGCACTTGGACGAGAGTCGTGAGCAAGGTGAAAATTATCCGATAACAAGTGTAGGCTTGGCAGTGCTTTTAAACCGAAGAGAGCTGATGAGCAGATGGTAAACAGGGGTGAAACTGGAGGGGAAACCCTCCAATGCCACCTGCCGGAGACAAACACAAACACAGCAGAACCATGACAGAAGCAGGCCCAGACAAAAAATACCCATTCATCCATCCATCCATTTTCTAATTCGCTCACCCTCACAAGGGTCGCTGGCATGCTGGAGCATATGCCAGCTGTCTTCAGGCAGCAGGCGGGGTACACCCTAAACTGGTTGCCAGCCAATTGCAGGGCACAAATAGATGAACAACCATTCACGCTCACAATCACACCTCGGGATAATTTTGAGTGTTCCATTGACCTTCCATGTCTGTTTCTGGAGTATGGGAGGAAACTGGAGTACCCGGAGAAAACCTACGCAGTCATGGGGAAAACATGCAAACTCTACCCAGGAAGGCCGGAGCCGGATTCGAATCCAGCAACTCCACACTGTGAAGCCGGCGTGCTAACTAGTTGAACACCGTGCAACCCGACAAAAATTATGAATTGTGGAAATGATTGAAAATAATTTGACCAGAGGGACATGTTCAACAAAGGTTTATGCTATAATTAGCATCACAGGTACCTTCAAATGAGTAATCAATAAATCTGCCTATTTAAAGGCTGACAAGTAGTCAATTTTCTGTTTGGTGACATGGCGTGTCCCACACTAAACATGAATAAGAGGAAGGCAAGGAGAGAGTTGTGTGAGGATATTAGAAAGAAAATTAGCAAACTTATTGAATGTAAAGTCTGTAAGGCCTTGTTCAGCCAAAATTCAATTTTTATTTATATTTATTAATTTATATCAAAATCCTGAAGAACATCTGTGGAAGAAGGAGCTGAAACATGCTGGAGAAAGCACCTTTCAAACGTTGACAACCGGAGCAGTTTGTTCATGAAGAGTGCACCAAAAATAATTGCTGAGAGAGGCAGACGTCTTATTAAAAGTCACAAAAATACCTTGATTGCAGTGACTTGCCTCAAAATGTTAAACAACAAAAACATGATGTTCAAGGTACCGTCATTTTTGTCCTGTTTCGTGAGTTTATTATTTGAAATAATTCTGTACTATGGAGAGAGAAGAAAACTGAACTGAACCAAAATCCGTGACCGTATATCCAACATGTGGCCTAAACCATGTATTCTCCTTTTTACAGAGAGAAATGTGTCATTCAGTGAAAATAATCAAATAAAATGATGTCCATTCAACCTGTGAGAAATGAATGTTTCTTTGATAAATTAACATTCATTTTGTCAGTTGACGAAATGATTATATCAGGACGTCAGTTTTGTCTACGATGGGAAAATATTGGTTTTGTTTTGATGTCAACTGTACCAATAAGAAAGTTATCTTAATCTTTTAATCGAGAACAAACAACAATCTTTCACCGAGTGCTGATTAAGGATGAACACTCTCTGAAAGTTGTCATCTGACCCTTCTGATGTAGCAAGCAATATACCGGTAACTACAATGTTCAAGAGGTCGTGGCCTTGAATCGGGCCTGGGCCTTCCTGTGTGGAGTTTGCATGTTCTCCTTGTGCCTGCGTAGGTTTTCTCCGGGTACTCTGGTGTCTTCCTACGTTCCAAAAACATGCATGGCACATTGATTGAAGACTCTCTAATTGCCCTGGGGTGTGATTGTGAGCGCAAAAGGTTGAGTCAAGTTTCCTGAACAGATGAAGGAAAACAACACACCGATCTAAATAGGCTAGAACCGTTTCTCCCATGAAAAAGACCATGCTGAATTTGAAATGTGAATATGAAAATAAAAAAAAGAAAAACTAAAGAAAGAGAAAAGAAAGGAGAATAATGCATGCAGTTGACTGTTTCATAACCCTCCCGTGGAGAGCGTGCTGAACGGGAGCTCCACTTTGATCACCTCTCGAAATCAAGTGTGTGTGTGTATATATGGGAGTACATTGTGGTTTAACTTTGTTTAAAAAGTTTAATGTGGTAAATTTGGAACGAAAGAAATATATCGGTATAAATGAAGTGTGGTGTCAGATTTGGAGGTGTGATTTTCATCCCAACTGCTTCACTCTTTGGCTGGGAACCGCTCCAACTAGAGTTGAAGGTCACATTATGACAAAGCCAACAGAACAACATCTACAAAATTGAGAAACAGAATATTGAGGTCAATAAATTGGAACCCCTTCATGTCTCAGTTGCGCTTAGAAATACTGTCTATAAAGATACTGAACAGAATCAGAGACAACAGATGGTCTTGTGGCGTCCAACCCTCACTTGAAATTAATCTCTTACTCACGGCAATAAGGCCCAAACTCTTGACCCCGATCGTACAAGTATCGAAGATCCCCCAGCGCACCCTCCACAGGACTCCCTGAGGGATACGGTTGAACACATTCTCCAAATACACAAAGCACATTAGTTGACAAATTAGGCGATCTCCCATGCAGCCGCCAGAATCCTGTCAAGGGCGTAGGGCAAACTATTCCACAGCCAGGACGAAAACCACACCGTTGTTCCTGAAACTAAACTTCAATTTCCCTTATGAACGATGGAGAGGTCCAGCATACCTGAATAGACCTTATCAGGGAGGTTGAGGAGTCCCACTAAAAAGGGGGACCACCACCCTGGTCCTCTCATCCAGACGCACTGTCCACGTAATGTTGCAAAGGCCTGATAACCACCACGGCCCCACAACATCCAGACTGTTCAGAATATCCAGGTGAATCCACAACTGGAGACCACACAACAATATGAGGGAAGTGCAGAATCACAAATAGCACTCCATTAGTTATGCACGGCAATAACAGAAACACTGTTCTTATTACAAGGTACCATGAGAAATTATGTTCCGTATTTTTAAAGTGACATTTCTACATATGTGCTAAATTGTGTAGTTTTTTGAGATGAATGCCAGTTTTTGAATTTCCCTATAAGTTTAAAAAAAAAAAAAAAAACATTTGTCAATACTTACTGGGTGGCTTATTGGTAGCCAGGTTCTTGAAATGTATGCCTTTGATGACTTCCACAGAGAGATGTCCCGTTGTGGCGTTGTACACCAGGCCCACCAGGATTTCTGGTGTGGAAGTTTGACTGTCTGATGGGAACGATGAGGCGCTTTCACTGCACGTCATGTCTGAGAGACTGAGTTGGGATTCAGCACCCTGCAAATTTTAGAGCATGCAGATTGGTCACTGGTAAAGCATTCTACCATTAATCTCTATTTTCTGCAGAAGCAACGGGGACAGAGAAACTTTGGGTGAACCCAAACCCTCAAAATGGCTGCTTCCAAGTTTTTCACAACTGCTAAAATACGAAACCCGATTCTTTGAACCAAATTCTCAGTGGCTTTTTTTTTTCATCTGACACTCTTTTGGCCAAACCTTAAAACACTGTTCAGTTACTTTAACTCAATTTGCTAAACACATATGTTCTGTTATCACAAAACCTGAACCACTAAATACATTTCACACTTGTATTTTGGGGTGAAACGAGTCCTCGAGTAATTGGAGTACCTTGGTTCAAAAAAATGCTCAAGGCACTTTTTCTGCTTCAATTACCCGCTTATTTGTCTGTACACTGTAAGGAAGAACTGGTCAAGCTAACCACATCAACAATTTACGCTTTACATGACAGTAACACACTGCCAACACCAAATAATAGATGCCTTCAATCCCTTTGAAACCTTTTATTTTGAAGTTGTTCTGGTCAGCGTTTCGTGGCATAACACCTGACTTGACACATCTTCTAGACTGTTTGGGGTGTTTATTGCCATCCCAAACTGTTGCTACCAATGGCAACATAACGCTGTCCTGAAATGTTCAAATACTAAAAAAAAAAAAAACAACTTCGTTACGCTGACATTATATTGTATGAACCCCGTTGCCAGATGTTTGAGCTAGCAACTAGCAGTGCTCAAGTCTTTCTGCATTACTGTAGTAAGCTACTTTTATCACTTAGACCAGGGGTGGCCAAACTTTTTTGATCGAAGATCAACTTTTGAAGCGACCAACCTCCCACACGTGTAAGCACACACACGCACACGCACACACACACACACACACACACACACACACACACACACACACACACACACACACACACACACACACACACACACACACACACACACACACACACACACACACACACATACACACACACACACACACACACACGCAGAAAATTAAAACCCCTAACACCATCATAACTCACGACTCAAGGACCGCGCTTCAGCTCAGCAAGTATCAAAGCATTAACATGTTTTGTTTTTATCCTTTTTTTTGCACCCTGTATACAAGAATGAGCAGCCTCAAGACTGATGTGAAGAACAGAAGAATATACTGTAGATCACAATTTAAAACCATCAAAAACTCTACCATCACAAAAAGCATTCTCACTTTTTAATAAATTTTAAGCATGTCTTTTTAAGTATTTTTTGTTTCTACATTTTACAATTGACATGTAACACTTAATCTGTAATCGTTGAGACTCTTGAAAAAAAAAAAAGACGCACCGTGAATCAACTTAAATTAAGACAGTTTCTTGTTTCTAACGCTATTAAAAATTCTTACCTTATTGTTCATGTTATTGCATTTACATTTTATATCTACATGTGTTTCGGAAGATTAGAATACTAAGTGACTTTCATTTTCTTGTGATTTATGATTACTCGTTGCAATTTATAAATGGTTTATAATGGCAAATGTCGGTAACCCAGTTTGGGTTTGATTACCATGAAATTCAGTCAAATGAGAGTACTGGAATATGTAGTATATGTTACTGCTGCATTTATCCTTAACTAACACTTTTTCGATGGTTTAAAATGACTGTGATCGCAATGCTGATTTCTGTTAGACCGTCAAATGTACAGTGAAACTCCTCTACAACGAAATCTACATGGGCGAAAATACCCACTAGTGTAAAAAAAATTTCATGCATGAAAGCATTTCCCATTTTTCTGCTCCCCCTTCAAAGAAAAATCCCCCTGTTCCATTATACGAAATTGTTTTCTTTGCTCTTGCCTCACGACGAGATTCACTACAATGAAAACAAGCCTTCCGCAAAAGTCTAATCCAACCTCAGCCAACAGAAACTCCTACTGCTTCGCTCCGAAACTGCAACAGCAACCAAACTGCAACAAAACGGATCTTTGGATGCCAAGCAGCTAAGACAAGAAGAGCTCTGACGCTGGAAGAGAGGGTTAAAGTGATCAAAATGAAAGACGGAGGAAGCAAAATACTGTTAAAGACATTATCCAAGAAATTGATGTAAGTGAAAGTCAATGCTGATTGGAAATTTTGCAATTTCTTTCCCTTTTTTTCTCTTTGTGCACAACTGTACAATGGCTATACAGTACAGTACTGTACAGTATGAAGTGTCTTTGGGATTATGATTGATTTCAAAAATCATTGATTTAAATTCCAATTTAAATCAGCTAAAAATTAACAAATCAAAACTTTTATTTTCTATCAATTACTTTTTCACGAATCGATAGAAAATTCGAATGTTGCTTTACAACATAACCAAAAAATTTAACTGACTTTTTGGGTGGTTTTTCTCTTAGTTTGGTATCATTAAATTTATTAATTACATATAAATTTATAAGGTGTTACAGTACTATACACAGTAGACATATTCATTACAGTACTGTTATGCTTCAGGTGCATTTTATAGAAGTAAAGTTTGAAACAAATTATAGATATTGAAACTTCATTTTTATAAAAGAGTATAAATGACTTTTTTTAAACCAACAGACAAAGTGGAGTGATCAATATAAAACAATTGTATGATAATGTTAAACAATATCAAATAAGTGTATGCTCATGTTTATGCATTACGTACACTACTGGAATAGAAATAAAGAGTACACATATACGTTTTGTGTGTGTGTGTGTGTGTGTGTGTGTGTGTGTGTGTGTGTGTGTGTGTGTGTGTGTGTGTATACATCTGAGAGAAAATTTGCTACAGTGAAAAACCCACTGCTGTGAAAAATTTCTTGCTGCAAACATGATTTTGTTGTAGAGGAGTTTCACTGTATTTCCATTGTATGTTAGCATGAAGCTAGTAGTCTTAGCTAGCAGTGTTAAGATAAAATTAATGGCAGTAATACTGTGTTGAGTACTTCCAAAGAACATTTCTGCTGAAAAACAGAAATGTTTTGAGAACGATGAGCTGCAAGTCACATTAAACTGCACATTCGGGGAGGATATCATAACATACAAATACATGACAAATCAAAGTTGCTAACTTTATGAGAGTGAATGCTTGGGCAAACCAGATGAGAAAACCAATCGGAACATGTGCAGATTTAATTGAAAAATATAAACACTTCAACATGGAGCTTATTTAAAAGGTCATGAATGTTAAACACAATTTTGGTGAGTTAAAGAGAAGCTAAAGACTAGAGGAGACAGACCAAGACGCTCATGGGATCAATAAAATCCGCAAATAATAATAGTAAGCCTCATTGTTGTTTAAACCGCAGGGTTTATATTCTGAATTTGACGGTATTTTCCGTGGGACAAAAACAAATGTTTTGAAAATAATTCCAAAGTCAACCAGGATCCCTGAAACAACTGTGAAAACAAACTTAAGAGACGGACGAACAACCATTGCTTTTGAACCTACTTACTGGGTACGTGCAGCATGGATCTAGAATGACCGGCACGGACATTTTTCCCTGAAGGTTGAGCTTGGTGAGATAAAACACATTTTCCCCGAGCACCTTCTCCTTCTTCATCCGCCGCATACTGTAAAGTCGAAATCTGATGGCGTAGTTGCTGATCAACTCAGACTCCATATGGCAAAAGTGAAAGGTCTCTGTGAAGAGGGGGCATGGGCCTCTTTGGATACCTGTCTTTGCCCTCTGCTTCTTTGTAGGCAGCAGCACCAGGTGAACCTGCCAGGAAATGTTGCCAGTGTGTTTTAGAATGGGGAGGTCCGTTATTGCCATGATGGTCACCGCCAGCTGCTGCTCCTCTGGATCGTAGTCAAACACGACGTCAAGAGTGCCGTATTTTGCAACCTGATCTGATTCGTAGCCTTTGGGGAGCTGTGCAGCTGAACCGCGGACTGACATCTCCTAGAGGGACAGCGATATGGTCTGTTTACATGATTCGTGACTGCATCACCTCATTTGATTTTCTTGCATATGTCTCCGTAGAAGCTCGTTATTTACCTCTGGACTGAGGACAGCGGTACTGTCGCTGGGCACATCCTCCTCATAGCCCTTGTTGAGATAACCCTCTGTCTCTTGGCCCTCACTTCCCTCACTGGTGCATTTGCGAAAGGAAAAGTGGGGGCTACCACTGGTCAGTGAGAGATCACACTTGGCATCACCCAGGTCTGACAGCGTGTAAGACATCCTTGGGGATCCATTTTCATCCTGATATGGCGGTGGCTGGAGTTCATCCAGTGGGGGTGTCCGCCTCATTCTCTGGATGCAGTTGGCTGTTAAAAATACGGAAGAGGACAGACAAACATTACATAAGTGCTGACGATTGATTGCATACAGAATTGTCCATACAGGAGCTATGATATGGCTACAGATAAATCACAGTGTGAAGACTGGAGTGTTTACACCAAACAATGGCATAGTTTGGTGCTTCGGTCATGCTGGATCTATGATGAGTGTCGATAATGACATGCCCTAACGCAGGGGTCCCCAACCGCCGGTCCGCGGACCGGTACCGGTCCGCAGGGCATTTGGTACCGGGCCGCACAGAAAGAACTTGCCTTATTTCTGTTTTATTTATTTCGGAACACGAAAGATGTTTTATTTTGAAAAATTACCGGATTCTCTTTTACATCCGTCTG